CCGCCATCTTGTGCCAACTAAACTGACTTGAACGCACCTGACGTCGTAATTACGACTTGTCAACTCGTAAGTACGAACGTCCCAGGAGGACTTGAAGTACCTGTCTGTTCAGTTAGTGTTTGTGGGATCTCGCCTATGTCTTCCCGTGTGCTAAGCCTTCCTCTTGTGGATTAACCTTCTGTGTGAATACCGACGAATGGGACGAGACCTGGTTGAGCTGCACTAGAGAAGGCAACGTGTGTTATCACTATGTCGCAGACACGCTAGTTTTCCCAAGGCAGACAAACTTACGGGGAGAGAGGTGTTGTAATAATGTAAAATATGTGAAAAATAATGTGTTTTTCGAACAACCTAGTATGAGAGCCTGTTCTAGTAGACTTCCAAAACAAAATCAAGACTTTGTAAAATAACATAATAGGACCCCTTTAAAGATCATTTTACCTTCATCATCTTCTTGAGTGTACCGGTGTGTGACAGTAATTATGTTTATATCTCAAAATTCTGGGTTTTTTTCTCAGAATTCTGAGTTTATGTCTCTCAATTCTGTTTTTTTTTCCTGATTTGCAAAAACCTAATTCTGAATTGTGAGATTCAAAAAAAAAAAATTTCTTTTTTTTTATTCAGTGGTGGAAACGGGCTTCCATACCAACCCAGTCTCACTGGAAAAAACATAACTATTTTACAAGATTTTGTTTTGAATTGTACGAAAATGTATGATTTTTTAGAAAAAAGGTAAGCATGAAGGCCCGCCCCTAACCCCACCCCCGAAAGATAACCATCACTGAGGCGTGAGCAGGTTATATGAAAATGTATGAATTAGCCACCAATTCGCCAAAACATAAAATAGCTACGAATTGCCTTGAGAGTGTATATCACAATGGGCGTCAATAGAGCAAAGCATTGCAACAATATAAACATTAAAATATGATATGTTAGAATTGTTTTGACAGTAAAGAATTCTACATGTTGCATGATATTAGTGTGATATACAGGTAATTGCTTGTGAATCTGGTCTGTGTTATAGGAGTTGAGTTTTTCAACTCATGAGCATGCAAGGCCACTAAACTCAAGAACTTTTTCATGATATACACATGGACACAAAAACACAAACACAGAAAAGTCAGTAATGAGTAATCTGAAATGTACTCGCCTAAAGCCACTAAAATCCAATTTAGACAACTATAATATGCATTTTTGTAGGAATTAATATTAGTGCTTTCACAAAAAGTTAACTGCTCTGAAACCCTGCAGAATGTGTTGCCCTCATAGACTTCCATTGTTTAACATAACTTAAAATTTTCAATTCCGAAATAAATTATTTCTGATTATTTAAATTATTTTTTATTAAAAAGTGAAGCTACCACAATTAAAAATAATTTTCTCTGACAACTAACAATAGTCCGTGAAGTTTGTATTTAAATGGACATTTTACACGTGTTTTATTATTAAACTTTTACAAGTAAATACTATTCCAGTGTTTCTAATTCAAAATTTCAGTTTAATTCAGTGTTTTGCTTTGCATTTCTTTGCAATTAAACATGGAATTTACTAGCAATTTCTGAGTGGAAAGAAAAATTCAGTGTATTTACAAAGCAAATTATAAAACAGTTTGTCATCAATTGTAAAACTTAACCTCCAAAAACTTCTTCAAGGTTTCATAGTCTCGTTAACAAAGAACTTCAACAACAATTCAAGCCGTTCTCATGCATGTGATGGTCGAGCATGTCTGATGACTTTTTGAGAGAATAAACGTTGGCTTTTCTCTCCAATCCTCTCCATTCATCCCGTGTTTTCTTTGGACCCAAATCCCTGTCTTAAAGTCCCGCTGTCATGGTGATAGATGTTGATTCTTCCCCTTTCTGTCCTTTTGTTCACAGGCCCAAACTCTCAGCAGTTTCTCTTTCCAACAAAACCTTCAAATGACTCTGAGTGAATGTGATTAGGTTGAAGGACCTCAAGACAAATTGAGTGGACAAAAACGCTGGTCATTGTCCTGCCATTTGCTCCCATTATTCCCATTCTCCGCAGTGAAAGCCTTCAGAACATTAGCCACACAGTGTGACCATCCTTCACTCTCACTGGAGCTGTCCTTTTATCTCCTTTCACATTCACTGGATTCAAAGGACAGCCAACAAAACAGCTTGTGATGTCAGCTGGATTCTGGGTTCCTCATGGGAGGCCTGAGTGCTCGACGCTGGAGCGGGTGAAAAGACTCGGGACCCCTGTAATGGCGGGCCGAAAGCATGTCAAGCGCTGGGTGGCCGTGCATTGTGGTAGATACTGCATGTCCTCCATCTTGAAGGACACTGTATTTTTTAGACATTTCAAGTGGAATTCATTAGAATGATGACTTATTTCATGGGCAGTGTGACTCTTTTTCACGTTTCATGGCTGGCACAACCATGACGGTTGTGCGTCATTCAGAATTGAGAATTCCAACTCCCTTCCTGACAGGATGCAGAAATGCAATTTGAATTTAAATGTAAAGAAGAATTAAAAAGAATTCTCTGGGAGTCTATGGGAGTGACGGTAAATTTGACATCGTTCTCTCTACTGACTGCCGTTATCAGTCTCTCTCTATTTTTTTCCTTTATTTTGAAAGTTATGAAAACATTATCATGGAGTTTTTCTTTTGCTATTTGAGCAAATGGGATTTTGCCAAAAAATACATTTGTGGTAGTCTCCCATTCACTGCTATGGAAGTTTACCCAACTAAGATGACTTCTGCTGCTGAGAAACCCGGAAATGTGAAAAAGGTCCATTAATCAAATTTCATATTTGCTTTTTTCTATCTATCATGTAATATTTCTAATCTGTCTATGCTAATCATGCTACCAACATGCTAATCATGTTAGAAACATGTTAAAAACATGCTAGCAACATGCGAATCATGCTAAAAACATGCTAGCAAACACATTAATCATGCTAGAAACATGCTAACAACATGTTAAAACATGCTAATCATGCTAACTACGTGCTAAAACATGCTAGAAACATGCTAGCAACATGTTAACAACACGCTAATCATGCCAGAAACATGCTAGCAACATGCTAATAATGGTAGCAACATGCTAATCATGCCAAAAACATGCTAATCAGGCTTAAAAACGTCTAAATAACCATGCTAGAAACATGCTAACAACATGCTGGTCATGCTAACAACATGCTAATCATGCTAGAAACATGCTAGAAACATGCTAATCTTGCTAGAAACATGCTACCTAAACAAGCTAGAAACACCTTTTTAATCTATCTATCTATACTTTCAAACTTCAAGCTTTTACTAGGCTACTGCTTCAAACTTTC